TCAACCTATTCTATCACATGAAACCCTATCGGTAAACTAGTTTCTTATAGAAATCAAAAGTTTAATTTAACTATTGTGACAACACAGTTTGTTAATTAAATTTATGTGGGCGTTAATTTAATGATATTAACTTTAGTTAAAAATAAAAACCTCTAAGGCCTCCGAAAACAAGTTCTATAATCTAAAATTTAAAACGACGACCGTTTTAAATTAAATATATAACATTGAGAAAACGGCGTTGTGTAGATCAATATTAATATAAGTTGGGAAAAAAATATCAATATTAATATAAGAGTTGTTGCAATTTAAATTTAAATTAAAAAATGCTTCTTTTTCATAGCATCCCAATTTCAATTTTTAAACAGCACATGACAAATTCTATAATATAATTGTTTTTTATAAAAAACAAAAAAGAAAAAATTCAACCATCTTCCGAGTTCAAACATAAATCCATCTATGTTCCTGACAAAAAAAAAAAAATCCATCCGTGTTCAAAATATAAGAAGGTGACTTTTTTTTTTCTTTCTCATTATTATTCCTTTTCCTACACGCTCTCTGTGATCACTAGTGCTACTGCTGTGCAATTTCCCTGAAAGACATTAAATACTAGGCTGCGACCGCACCAGCGCCTCATAAATCATAATGTTTCACGAGCCTTGAGTTCTTTCATTAATACTAATATATTCATTCATTAAGAAATGAAATTCCATCGCCGTAGCAAGTAGATCCAAGTTTGGTTTGACGTTTTTCGTTATTTTTTAAACATAAAATAACATTTATTTCAAGCTACCGTTGATTTGGTAAAATTTCATCAGAAAAGACTCTATTTAAAAACCGTATTAAATGCATGTTTAATCAGTTTCACGCAGTAATTGCGCATCAAATACGCTGGGGTTAAAAAAAGATAGCGACGGATCATGACGCAGTATCTGTAAATGTCATTACTGAACCAGCCAGATGGAGTTACCAAACTAGATGGCAATATTTTATTGACTCTGCATGATATATCAGGGATTTTAACCAAAAAAAAAAAACCAGGCATTGGATTTTTTTTGTAATAACTCAGGCAGGCATTATATTTTCTAATAGAGAATTTAAATGGACAATCTCATATTTCAAAAAAAAAAAAACACTTAAGAGAAGTGTTCCATATCATTGACTTATAAGACTTTGACCAGGTAGTAAATACTCATGCAAGAATAATAAGAAGGATTAAAAACTCCATCGAGTATTAATTCAATTAACAAGATGCAGTTCATACTCATGAGATGTTGGTTTAGACCTTGTTACTATTTTATTGATGGTTCTTAGTTTTGCCTGTGATAAATATAAGCTCTGTATGAGAATTTTTATTTCCCCGTGAATATAAAGTTTAGTTTCCTCTTGTTTTCTATGTTAAATTACTACTTTCATCCTAAATAAATCACTTTATAGAGGAAAGTTTTGATCTTAAATATAAATAACTTATACTCCTCGGTTGTAAATATATAACCTAATTGTTAAATTAATTTTGATCCTAGATACACGACTTATTTTTCATATTTATTATTTTTTTTAAAATTATTCATGTGGATGTTTTCTCAACCACAATCAAGTAAGTGAAAGAAAAAAGATATTAAGAAAAATGATTATGGTATTTTAGAGAAAATATGTCACATTTCTTATGATTAACTAACTTACTTAACTTTTTTAATCTAATCAAATTAGTTAAATATGTCTTATATTAAAAAAAAATAGTATATTTCAATGTGATTCATTTGGAGAAAGAAGTCTACGAATGACTAGTGATAGAGAGAGAGAGAGAGAGATAAAACTTTAATGATGGTAGAATGAGACAGTTTTATCAATTTAATACATTTACTGGTAGGCCAAAGTAAATGTTACAATTACAAATGACATATGTCGAGGAGAACTGCGATCAGTACGTTGAAGATGTATGCTGCGGTGGGGACGGGACAGGGGAATTGATTGGGGAGTGGTGGGAAAGTGTGAGGAGAGGTTAGCTTTCAGATGAAGTTGAAAGGGAAGGCAACTAATAACGGAGAGAGAGCACACGTATGCAGGCAATGGCTATCATCGGAAATTGACACAATGGAGGAGGTGCAAATAAAGGGGGGCAATTCTGGTGGGTGAAATCAGACGGCGAAGCAAAACTGGGATCAATCTAACAAAGGGTTAGGTGGCGTGTTGCAGTATCAATATCTCAGATTCTCATTCTTCACAAATTGACATCAACATGTGTGTATGTAACGTGCTTATCCACATACCCTCAAGCTTTTATTATGGCGTGGTCATCTTCAACATAGTGGGTGTTTGGCAAAATCAAAACCACGGTTTCAGAATCACTTTTTCGTAAAACGAGGTAATCTCCTCCACATATTTACTTCGTAATCCATAAAAGCACTTCTGAAATCATGGTTTGGTTTCTATCCAAACACCCCCATAAACTAGTTCGTTCCTAATGGGGATCCCTCATGACACCCTCGGCTGGTTCACCTTCCATCTCACATCAGCCCTTCCCTTTGTCTCTTTCACTACCGGCTTTTTTACTAATATACTGCAAACAGTAAAACATATTACCAAAATCCTGCAAAGTGAAAATTATTTACCAGAATACTATACTTAAAATTGTTCATGTAAAGAACGAGTTTAAGATTGTAAGGAAGTCGTTCATGCGAAGATGAATTTCACCTTTGCTATTTGTCCCATTATCCTAATAAGTCTGACACATACATTATTTTGAATAAAAAAGTAAACTTCATCACGCATACATCGATTTTGCCTTGCTCTCTCCTCTCTTCTCTCTCCTGCCACCGGAATCAAACGGGATATTTGAAAAATTGATGAGTAAGGAATAGTTTGAAAAAATACACGGTGATGGCCATTTTGGGGAGGAAAAAAATGATTGATAGAGTTCATTTACAAATTATGGGATGGAGTAAAATAGGAAAATCAAGTATACACTCAGTTAATTCTTAATATAAGATCTATTTATCTAATTTAAATAAATTAAAAAATAAATTAATTACTTGATTATGAATATGAGAAAGAAGGTAGATAAATAACTTATACTTAGGATCAAAATTTACCCTCAGACTAAGTCCTACATTCAGGACCGGAGGATCATATTATATCAAAAAATGTAAAAGTGTTTTAGTTTGAAAAAAAATTATAAATATGATAGATAATATAGATAAAGGTCTTACGTTTAGAGAAAAAATTATAAATATAAGAAATAAAATAAATAAAAAATATTATATTTTTGAAAAAAATGATAAATACTAGAATTAAGATAAATATAAATATGAAAGATAAAATAGATAAAGATCTTACATTTAGAAAAAAATTTATGAACATGAGAAATAAAATAGATAAAAGTCTTATATTTAGAAAAAAATAATAAATATGATAATTAAGATAGATAAAGTCTTACATTTGGGAAAAAAATACTTTTACATTTTTTGATATAATATACTCCTCCTGTCCTTAATGTAGGACTTAGTTTGAGAGTAAATTTTGATCCTAAGTGTAAGTCATTTATCTATCTTATTTCTGATATTCATAATCAAATAATTAATTTAGTTTCTTTAATTTATTTAAATTAGATAAATAGACCTTACATTAAGAATTAACTGAGTGTATATTTGATTTCCTATTTACTCCATCCCATAATTTGTACATTAACTCTATCAATCATATTTTTCCTCCCCAAATAGCCATCACCGTGTGTTTTTTCAAACTATTCCTTACTAATCAATTTTTCAAATATTCCGTTTGATTCTGGTGGCAGGAGAGAAGAGAGAGGAGAGAGCAAGGCAAAATCGATGTATGCGTGATGAAGTTTACTTTTTTATTCAAAATAATGCATGTGTCAGACTTGTTAGGATAATGGGACAAATAGCAAAGGTGAAATTCATCTTCGCATAAACGATTTCTTTACAATCTTAAACTCGTTCTTTACATGAACAATTTTAAGTATAGTATTCTGGTAAATAATTTTCACTTTGCAGGATTTTGGTAATATGTTTTACTGTTTGCAGCATATTAGTAAAAAAGCCTTCACTACCTTTTATCCCCTCTTCCCCTCGCATGCATGATCATAATTACATTAGTGTGCTTTTTTTTTTTTTTGCGCATATATATGGTCTTATTGAAGACAGTTTCATTCAAAAAACTGTCAATACTAAATTAGTAAATATAGAAATTTCTCTTAATTAAAATTTTGAATATTAATTCATACTAGTTTCTTTTCCGAATGAATGCATCAATACGTTGAATTCATACACCTTCATGTTTTGAATGAGTTTGTGGAGAAACCTTTTTTTTAATAGTTTTAATTATAAAATTTTTAAAATTAATTCGCAAAATTTGAAATAAGTAGATAAGGTGATCATTTTTAATTAATATGCGGAGAATTTATTGCATTTTTAAATTTCTTTTTAATTTAATGCCTGGAATTTAATGGGTATTGATGAACAAAGTCCCAATAAATAAAAATATTATAAATAATAAACAATAAATATGGAAAATAAGAAAGAACTGAAAACCAAAGTCTCATGAATCTTTATATTCAGGAGCCAAGGAAGCCTTTCCACTTAAAACTCGTGTAATATTTAATTCCGAATCAGTGAATCGCATAGGAAAATTTTGGTCAAAAAAAGAATTGCTTGGGAAAATATAAAACAACTCACATTAAAATACACCTAGATATATCTAAATTTTTTCCCCGAATTCACTCTCTCGAGTCCTGCCCCACTGGCCCACCAAGTCGCAGTGGAGAATGGCATTCTGGTAATAACATGCAGCGTCCAACCCCAGAAAACAACAACTGAACGCCTTTCTTTTGGATCTTTTCGTTCGTTCCTCGGCTTTTTCCGGCTCTCTATCCGTTGAAACCCCACTCTTTAACAACAGTCCCTCTCCCTCCTCTCTGTCCCTTTCCCAAAGGGCATTCTCACTCCGATGCTTTATTTTCACCCCCCGCTAACAATTCTCATCAACCAAACGCCCGCAACGTCTCTCTCTTCACCTCTCTTTCACTTTCGTTACCGTCACTTTTCCCCGTGAAATTTCACTCACCACCTCCCCCCTCTTTTCCTCACCTCGTCGGAAGCAATGGCCTCCGACGACTCTTCCGGTCATGGTCTTCCTCAGCTCTCTAAGAAAACTCCATTTCTGGGTCTGAAGCTTTACTTCGTGATCGGCATTCTCCTTCTAATCGTGCTTGTAATTTTGCTTCTGGTCTTTCTGTGCCTTCGTCGGAATCGTAACTCGACGAAGCGTAAAATGCGCGTGAAGCACAGTTCGGGGATGATTCCCTTGGTCTCCAAAGAGATCGTGGAAGTCAAAGCCTTGGATCTCGAGCAGAATTGTGAGCAGGCAGAGATTAAAATCGAGGATGAGGATCCGAAGAAGGAGAAGGTTGAGATTGAGGTTGAGAGAAGAGGGAAGAAGACGAGCGACGAGAGTGATGTGTCCGGCGGGAGTCGCAGTGACGTGTCGGTGGACGCACCGAACATAGGGTGGGGCCGATGGTATAGCTTGAGGGAGCTGGAGGATGCGACACGTGCGTTTGCGGAAGAAAGTGTGATCGGTGAAGGGGGGTATGGTATTGTGTACAAAGGAGTTCTTGAAGATGGGTCGGTGGTGGCTGTGAAGAATCTTCTGAACAACAAGTATGCCTTAAGTTATTCAAATTTACATGCGAACTTGACTGTTCTAAGGTTTTGTTTATCCTTATTTTGCTCCCGAATGTTTCCTGCATTACTACATGTTTTTTAGACTTTCTGAATACTAATGCATCCATTCCCTGTTTCTCAGAAAAATCATCCATTTTATTTCGAGTTCTTAACTTCTACAAATACAAACCTCACGTGGAAATGACTTGACATGGGAAAACCGACGGTTATGGCGTTGATCTAGAGTCTAGGAGAAATAGTTAATGTCGGTTGGTACCGAATTTCCTGATCGTTTCCAATTGTTTCGTGGAACACTAGGAAAAGTAAATGGACACTTCGTTGTTGTTCCTCTTATTCTACTAATCATCTGGGGCCTGGCTATTGCTTCTTTTTCCCTTGCTTTTGCTTTTTGATTATTTATCCTATTGGTCATAATTGCTGTATCTCATCTTTCCCTTTATGTGAGATACAAATCTTGATCCCGAAAAGACTTTAGTCTTCTTTGGAAACGGAAATATATGTGAATAATATTTAGTGTTGATGCAAGATTTATAAGCTGACATGCTTTACACGCTCTTCACTTTTTCCGACTCGTAACCTCGAACCCTCACAAAAGATAGAGCACAGTAACCAAACCATTCATTGACAGACGTTAGACGTATAATCGTATCAATCATCTCTTAACGGACATCTCTAATATGTTACCTGATTATTCGTGATTAGTTCAGCATTTGGGCTTGCTTATGTTGGTCTGCTCGAGTCCATTATTTCTTTCCTCAGTATATGACTTGCCATGCACGGAGAAGGTTGAGAGAGAACTACTAATTACCACTTGAAATGACTCTTAAAGAAAACTGAGAACACAAATCCAACAACGGTATGTCTTTGCCTAAGCATATGAATTCTTTGTACTGCATTAACAAGAATCGAAAGATCTCCAAACGAGGACAAAGTGTACATAAGATTTATTGAAGGGGTTGCAACTTTTTTCTACAATTCTATTACTGCTTGTAATCCTTTTGGAATTTTTTTTTTGGATTTTTTTTTCCTTTTGGTAACGCCCACCGATATTCCTACCTTCTTTGTAACTAAGAGGTCAAGCGGAGAAGGAGTTTAAGGTGGAGGTTGAAGCCATTGGAAAAGTAAGGCATAAGAATTTGGTGGGTTTAGTCGGATATTGCGCTGAAGGTCCTCAAAGGTATTATTCTGTTTACATGGCAATCGTTCTTTCAATTTGCCTGCAAAAATTCCTCTAAAATTATGTGAATTTTGCTTCTGCGGATCATCCAGGATGCTTGTTTATGAGTATGTTGATAATGGAAATTTGGAGCAGTGGTTGCATGGTGACGTTGGGCCTGTTAGTCCCTTGACATGGGATATAAGGATGAAAATCGCCATTGGGACCGCAAAAGGGTCTGCTTTTTCATTTCTCTGTTTGACTTCATTGGAGATACATTCTGTGACTGAAAAAGGAAAAAAATGTTATCATGCTCCTTGATTGATCAAATTGACGTTTTTTTCCTACATCATGAAACAGGCTGGCCTATCTGCATGAAGGGTTAGAACCCAAAGTGGTGCACCGGGATGTAAAATCCAGTAACATTCTTTTGGACAGAAAGTGGAATGCTAAAGTATCAGACTTTGGACTAGCCAAGTTATTAGGCTCTGAGAAGACCCATGTGACCACACGTGTAATGGGGACATTTGGGTTAGTTTCTTCCTCAACCTTCTAAACCATTTGGGATTATGATTCTTCTTTCAATACGTGGTATTAGAGATTATGATTATTCTTTCAACAGCATAATGCCCCGTTTGGATTGATGGAAGAGTTTTCATGAACTGGAATCAGAATTGAAATAAGAAATGGAATAGTATTGGGTTATAAAAGCATGTTTGGCATGCAGAATGGCAGATGGAGTCCTTACATTATGTTCAACTATGTATATTTATATATTAAAAGACTAATTTACCCTCTTTTTTTGGGGGGGGGGGTGAGGTTACAAATGAGAAATCCTTGGAATCCAATCAATTCCATTGTGAGCCCGATGGAATCCAATTCTGCCTTTTTCCCTTGAATCAGGATTCTTGGGAATTGTGATTTGTTTCTACCAAACAACACTTAATGATGATTCCTAGTCTAATGCATTTTGGGCTTGAGGATTCTTTCCTACCAAACGGGGCCTAACGTGTTTTGACTCCTGAACATGACTTGGGAGTCTTTATAACTAAGTGGTCAATGCTTCAACTGAGATCATGTTCATAATGAAACTATACATGGATCTTGACTGATTAAGCTGTAGAGTTGAATCTTCACGTAGATCATTTATTTTGTTATTTCATGTTTTTACCACTAATTTTCCACAGATACGTTTCACCTGAGTATGCAAGCACGGGAATGCTTAATGAGGGAAGTGATGTGTATAGCTTTGGAGTTCTACTCATGGAGATAATTACAGGAAGAAGTCCCATAGATTATTCTAGACCACCTGGAGAGGTGATTACGGGATTTCTTGAGCCTTTTCTTTTGTAGCATACCATGAAACACCGGACTCTTATCCCTGCTTTTGTGCTTGATGTGGTTCAGATGAATTTGATCGATTGGTTCAAGGGAATGGTAGCAAGTCGTCGTGGTGAAGAGCTGGTAGATCCTTTGATTGAGGTTCAGCCCTCTCCAAGATCTTTGAAACGAGCTTTGCTGGTTTGCCTGCGCTGTGTAGATTTGGACGTCAGTAAACGACCGAAGATGGGTCAAATCGTTCATATGCTTGAGGCAGATGATTTCCCCTTTCGTTCTGTAAGTCTTTTTCCCAGGCCACTCTTCGACATATCCGTGCCTTAATGATATTACTAAAAACAAATCAAGTCTGAGATTTCGAGCATGTATCATATAACTGAATATCTTTGATAAGATATTTAGTTTATATTATGAAAGTGTTGATTTTAGCTTCCTTTGATGTCTAACTACTACTCTTTTGACAGGAACTTCGTACAATAAGAGAGAAAGAGCCCGTTGCTTCTTCGCATTCCACAATTCCCCGTAAAGTTCAATATCCCCCCAAGAATGTGGATTCTATAGAACAGTCAAGATGGAGATGATTGTAATACTGCTTCCTCGTGCCAATTCATCTGGAGGATACCACAATTTTATTTGTTGTAATGTAGTTTGTTTTTGTTTTTCAAAATCACAATGCAATTTAGCGATGTTCGATTTCTTGTATTGCGAGCCATTGTACATCATTTTACAGCGAAGTTGTCCCCCATTTTCCCCCACTGTGCATATATCTTTTTTATAGCGAAGTTTCCCCCCTTCCAGTCAGTTTTTGACACCATTTTGCTGTATTATATTGTTTTGCTAAGAGATTAGCCTTCTTGTAAAGACACGCACCTCTACAGTCTACATAATTTTACTAGCTTGGGAATCCTAGACCCTCACCCAAATGTGTATTTTTTCAAGTGAAAATTGAGCTCGATGCCAATGGCCTCTTCTATTTAATTTATTACCTCTTTTGGGGTAGAGCTGTAGGATTTGAGACAAAAATTGTGTTGAAACCTTTTATTTTAAATGATGAAATCGATAATCAATTTTTCCAGACTACATTTTAAACTGCAGGTAGCTGGTATGGATGGAAAAAATAGTTTATGGATCATTCTGTGGCAGTTGCGAAACAGGTGAAAGTGTTAAGATACGGGAAGACTTGGGGTTGTCCTGAGAATTCAGTTCCTGTCAATGTCATGGTTGGTAAAGTGGCAAGAGGCAACAGTGACATCAATAGTCATTTTTCAACGATGATCGCCCTTGCCCCTGACATTGAGCTGAGACTCCTATGATTTTGCCTGCAACTTGAAGCTTCCTTCATTCCATCAATTTCATACCGTAACTTAAATAATTGCCTCCTGCCCTCCGTCCTTTAATCTAATTTTTCACATAATTCATCCAATTCTTTGATTTGACTTGTTTGAATGACCGTCTTTTGTCACCTCAGATTTGAAACATGATTGACCCTCGTGTTGGCGACGCTCAAATTGGTTCCACCTCTATCATTCCAATCACAAACATCAAAGTGGCGTAAAATAGGATCGCCAATCTTTTTCATGTATATGTAGATAAAGAAAAAAGAGACTGGCTTTTGTTGACAGCACATGCTGCCCAATCCAAAGAAAAGGAAG